AGTGTTCAGCATGTAGCTCTTAATGATTTCTACCGTCATCCACAGAGACACGGAGCGCAACAAGGAAATCGCCTTCCTGGAAGCTCAAGTATACGAGTACGTGGAGATCCTCGGGGTGAGTGTGGATGTGTTGATGCTGCTGCTGGAGCTCATGTTTCCAGCCGGCCGTGAGGAAACCACGTTGATATGTTGCGTGTGTGGCTGCAGGAGCAAAGGCAGCTGACTCACGAGAACGTGCAAAGGAAGCAGGCCAGGACCGGAGAGGAGCGTGAGGAGGAGGAGGAAGAGCAGGTCAGCGAGAGCGAGAGCGAAGACGAAGACAACGAGATCATCTACAACCCCAAGAACCTGCCGCTGGGCTGGGACGGCAAGGTAAGGCTACAGACACGCCTGCAGGCTGCTGTTACATGACGCTGCTCTCACTTTAACCTCACTGCTGTTTTAAATAAGACGTTTCATTGTTGTCGAGTGGATTCCCCACAGTAACCGTGTGTGTGTCCCTGCAGCCGATCCCGTACTGGCTCTACAAGCTGCACGGGCTGAACATCAACTACAACTGTGAGATCTGTGGGAACTACACCTACAGAGGACCCAAGGCCTTCCAGAGGCACTTTGCAGTACGTTGCTGTTGTTGTTTTCTCGTGTGACTGTGGGAGCGTTTAAAGGTTGATGAACTTCCATGTTTGTTTAAAGGAGTGGAGACACGCCCACGGGATGCGCTGCCTGGGAATCCCCAACACCGCTCACTTTGCCAACGTCACACAGATCGAGGACGCCGTGTCTCGTGAGTGGATCGGAGCAGATTGTGAATGCAACTCATGTTCAGATGTTAATTATGTGTTTTATGTCCTGCAGTGTGGGCGAAGCTCAAGTCCCAGAAAGCGTCAGAGCGGTGGCAGCCCGACACAGAGGTACCAGCGCTCAGCACACGTTTGTGTTTCGTTGTGTGTAGCTGCTAACTGCTTTGCTGATGTGCTTTTCAGGAGGAGTACGAGGACTCCAGCGGAAACGTGGTCAACAAGAAGACCTACGAGGATCTGAAGAGACAGGGCTTGTTGTAAACTCTGGTTTTATCCTGTTTCTTCTTTGTAAGCTGCAGCGTTTTAACAGCATCACCAACTTTTCTCTTTTGCTTTTCATAACTTTGTAATGTGGCGACCGTTTATGATCATAATAAAGTAGAAACCTTTGTCAGCACGCTTGTTCGTCCTGGTCCTTCAACAACTCCTAAAATCACCAGGACTGAAAATAGTCCCTCACATGTTTACATTTGATATTTTAATACTGATGTATGGATGGAGCAAGTTCTGCTCAAGCTGAAGCTACTGTGTAATCTGTAGTCGGCGGTTCAGCTGCAGCCGTGCCTGGTTCACAACAACCACGATGACCCGGATCATTTGGACGTCTGAAGCCCTCGAACGTGACAGAGGGAGGACTCTAATATACAGGTGCTGGTCAAAGAATATCATCAAAAAGTGGATTTATTTCACCAATTCTATGGAAAAAGTGAAAGTTGCTGCAGGTGTTATGAGAGCCCAGGTTGCTCTGCTCATTCAGAGGACAAGAACATGGTACAGCAACCTTATAAATGCAGATTTTGGTGAATGCCTCTGTGACTCTTCCATGTTGCTACAGGAGTTTTGCTTCTGTTATCTCTGCACGTTCCCGTGGTGTGTATGCGTCCACTCTTGTGTTATGTCCTTTCTATGTGCAGCTATGGGCAGCTGTGGCTACAATGTAGCTGCCATCACCAGTGTGTGAATGTAGTGTGAAGCGCTTTGGGGTCCTTAGGGACTAGAAAAGCGCTATACAAATACAAATGCAGGCCATTTACCATTTTATGTAACTCTAGTTTAAAACTCTGATAACATCAACTGTGATTATTCATTCAAAACAATTTTAATTAGTTTGATGACATCACAAAGGAACAGCAATCGTTTATCATTGTAGGAGTTTCAGTGTAGCATTCATTTGATCATCGTGTGTAGTTGAGGCTGTGGAGGATCCACAGACTGATGAGCTGCTTTTATCCAGCGTGTCGGTGAAACAGCAGCTTGATCGTTTGCACTGACTCGTGTTCGTGGAGCTGTTGAGCTCCACCAGATGGAGCTGTTGCATCTGTGACGCTAACTCTGGGAAAACAAGAGAAAAAGGATGTAGACTAAAGAGTCCGTTAACTGCTTTAGACCACGACAAACTGAAACGATACAGGCATAAAGGGCAGATCTTTAAATTACCTCCATATTTTGAAAACGTGTTAAAAAAGGAAAAAATCTATGGTGGATTTAGCCTTCATGTTTTAACACACACACACACACACACACACACGCACACACACACACACACACACACCTGTAATGCCTTTTGACAACATTGTGAACAGATCACTCTGATTAATGGCTCGTCCTTCAGCAGATGAACACACGGCGCCGTATCAAAGCACCTGCATCGTGTTTTTTAAATTGATGTTTTTGACAGATAATCATCCATCCAGTCACGTCCGCTGATCCTTTTCAGGGTCGTGGGGGCGCTGGAGCCTATCCCAGCTGTCACAGGGCGAGAGGCGGGGGCCAACACACAGAGAGACACAGATAATCATAATTTACACGTTTTCCACCACACACGTGCAGACAATGGTAACAGCAGGTCATACTCCCCCCTCGGGCCGGGTCTTCAGGTTTCCCACAAAAGGATCATCCAAACAACAGCAAACATTTAGTGAGTGGTGGTTGACCTCTGACCTCTGAGAAAGGCCAGAATGCTTCAAGCTGATTGGACGGCAGCCGTAACTCATTTACAACCAAGGTGTCTGTCAATCCACAGCTGGAGTGAACAGCTGCCCTGTACCCACGGTTCAGGCTGCTGCTGGTTGGTCCTCCTTGGTGACAGCCTACCTGGATGTTGTTGTTGACCATTTCATCAAAGTCATCGTGTTCAGAGGATGTTCGATCATCTCAAACTGCTCACTGTGATGGTCGAACAGTTTGGATCCTCACAGTGAGTTAACTGAGACGTCCTCTGACAGCCTTTGCTCACTCTGTTCCCTGTCAAAACATAGCTTAGCTTATCTCAGCTAGCT